AAGAATAATTTGCCACGAAAGTTCCATTTCGTCGCCCTCAACTCCTATCGATTAAAGCTTGGATCGATAAGCCGTGCAACCAACCAACAAGCTTAATCGTTAACCGACTCCGAAGTGGGTTCGCTAGGTGTTCTGGGGTCAGTTTACAAGATGACGACTACTTCCCCGCCCTCCCCTAGGACCTGTAAAACCTACAAAACAAAACACACGCTTACAGGTCCTAGGGGAGGGCGGGGAAGTAGTTGTCATCTTGAAACTGACCCCAGAACACCTAGCATACCCACTTCGGAGTCGGTTAACGATTAAGCTTGTTAGTTGGTTGCACGGCTTATCGATCCAAGCTTCAAACGATAGGAGTTGAGGGCGACGAAATGGAACTTTCGTGGCAAATTATTCTTTGTGCATCGGGAACTGAGTATTTTCCTTCGGTTGGCTATCTTGGACGATTATCGAACATGGCAGAGGCGCAGTTTGAGGGGATTTGAAACGTTCTAACTTTAAGTTTTGCCCCGGGCACTGACATTATCTCAGTTAGTCGACCGCCATGGTTTCCAACCTTCGCTTCTCTTTAAGAAGAGAAAACCAGGATTCCAAAAAATCGCTTAAATCAAGTTAAATTGGTAAAATAACGACACCAGGAGCAAACAACACACGTATGGAATAAGTTAAGCCATTTTTATTGAATATTTTCACTTTTAACTACCTCCAGGGATATCTAGTAGAAAATCCGATACAAATCCTTATGAATCGATATGCCGTATTGTGTTCCTTGTATGGTTCATATAGAGAGCTTGCGCTACCTGTGGCTTAAAGCGATATAATAAAAAATTTGGTTACGTGATATGTTTGTAAGAAATGATTGACAGTTCATAGGTACGTGATTCGGAGCACATGCTCTCGCAAGCTAGCTAGGTTTTGTTTTTACACATATGCGTCTTGTATGATTCTCGCTTAGTTATGTTGGAGTGTGAATCGAACGATTAAACAATTTCAATTTGGTTATGGACGAACTCGAAATATTTGATACTGTTTCCGTCTACGGGTAATTTGTAAAGTTAAAGATTTTGAAGATAAACGAAGTTCCCTCTCTCATGAGGCCGTGCTTATTGTTAAAGGAATGGCTAGAAAAGAGCGTAAAATATTTAGGCATGAATTCACGCGTTGTAAATGTTAACAAAAATCATAAATCATACGACATTAAAAGACAAAACTGTTTGCAAAAAAGTTTTTAAAGTAAAATTAAAAATCCACAATTTAACAAATTAAAAGTAATTTGATTTGAAATTAAACAAGCTTGCCCCTTACGTGTGGAGGTAACGTTTGTGAAGAGATGAGCCGGAAAAGAATAAAAAATCATACTTTCATGGTAGAAACGATAACAAATTTTAACTAGGAGATAAGAATTCATAAAAATAAAATCTTTTCAGTGAGGAAATAATTTTGTTAGACTCGTGGTGCATAAAAGGTAACAAAAATGATCCAAAAATTTCTGCAAATGCTTGTAGCTAAAGTCATTTCGAGTAAATTTGCAAATCGACGTACGACGATTTCAATAATTAGACTATCACTTCATTCACAAAGAAGAGAGCTTGTCTCTTACCTGTGGCCGTGGCGTTTGTGAAGGGAAAAGCTGGAAAGAGCAAGCAATAAATTATAATCATTAGTCATATTTGCATATTACAAAGGATGACAAAAAATCAAACTACGAGGTTAAAATTTCATGAACTAACAATAACTTTAACATGTTGCAAACAACTTTGGCATAGTTCTTTTTCTCTTAGAAAAAAGTAAAGGTGTTTGTCTTGCACATTAACTGCACTCTCTGTGTTGTCCACAGATGATAAAAATATATAATATACATGTCTCTTTTAAGAGATTTGTTAAAACTAGTGTTTGCATGTTAATGACAGATAACGCACACGAGAAAAAGTGATTTATCATAAAGACGATTTTACTCACTGAACAGTTATTCGATTTGAAAGTAAACGACTTTGTGTCTCACCTGTGGCCGTAGCGTTTGTTGAGGGAAAAGCTGGAAAAAAGTAAGCAGTAATTGGACGTATTTTCATGGTACGGTAAACAAATATGCATATATCTTTCCAAGTATTGGCATTTTTTAATTGAAATTAAGGCACACGAGAAAAAGTGATTTATCATACAAACGATTTTACTCACTAAACAGTTATTTGATTTGAAAGTATTATACAAACTTACTAAACAGTTATTTGATTTGAAAGTAAACGACTTTGTGTCTCACCTGTGGCCGTAGCGTTTGTTGAGGGAAAAGCTGGAAAGTAAGCGGTAATTGGACGTATTTTCATGGTACGGTAAACAAATATGCATATATCTTTCCAGGTATTGGCATTTTTTCATTGAAATTAAGGCACACGAGAAAAAGTGATTTATCATACAAACGATTTTACTCACTGAACAGTTATTTGCATTGAAAGTAAACAACTGTCTCTCACCTGTGGCCGTTGCGTTTGTTGAGGGAAAAGCCGGAAAACAGTAAGCGGTAATTGGACGTATTTTCATGGTACAATGGACAAATATATATCTTTCCAAGTATTGGCATTTTTAATTGAAATTAAGGCACACGAGAAAAAGTGATTTATCATACAAACGATTTTACTCACTAAATAGTTACAGTTTTGATTTAAAGGTAAACGACTGTCTCTCACCTGTGGCCGCAACGTTTGTTGAGGGAAAAGCTGGAAAAAAGTAAGCAATAATATATCTTTTTAAACGTTTTGCTGTGTGGTATCGCTGAGTATTTTTACAAATTTTACCCGTCCCCTTGATCTTAATGTGACTCGTTTGATTATACTTTTAAGTTCTCGTTTTTCAATGTATAACATGTCAGTGTCGGCCTTTGTTGCGGCAAGTTCTTGTTCTAAATCATCGGTTATTTCACTCGGCCCGTTCGCGTCAGTAGGAGGAAATATCTGTAAGTCGTTAGTCCCTTTTTCGTTTTTATCTTGTTTTTCAATTTTCCTAGATCTACTGTAAATTAAAATGTAATTTTTCCTTTTAGTCGAATCATCATTTTCATCGTTTTCATCATCACCTTCTACATAATCAAATGCGTTTAATTTTACTCTTTGACTGTGCACGAGGAATAAATTTCTCTTTTAAATCATCTCTTAGCTGGAGTCTACACCAGAATTTCTCTTGTTATTGTGCGCAAGATATCTTCACCGCTTTTAGTATGAGAACTGGTTTCGTTATAGAAACCGGGGACTTCAAGCCCTGTGGAAAGCCGTAACATCAAGATATTTTTTACGTATGTTTGATGTCACCAATCAGCTGCTGATACGTCACTCGCTTTTCGTACCACTTTGTCAAGTTCATGAATCACTGGCGGAGCCTTCACTATTTTTCAATCCGGTGCTGTTTGCTCCCGAATTCGTCCTAAAAACCGGCTGTAATGGCAAAGAATATCTGGAGTACTCAAATGCATGAGACTGCCTGACCCAACTGAACGATAATCCACCTAATAGAAGACCAATTAAGCCAAGCGGAATGTTCGAAAACCTCG